GAGAAAAAGGACGATACAGTTTTGTATAATACTACTTTACCGGCATTAAATGATTTACGTTGCGCAATGTGCGAAATTGATTTTATTGAAATTCGTGATTCGTCGGCGAAGTCAAATTTTCACTGGAAGACAATGAAATGTCGGTAAGTATAATACTTATTTCTTGTTTTTATTCAGGGTATCTTATGCTTACTAATAATATGATTTTAGATTACTCATTCATTTAGTTTCTGATTTAATTGCTTCACCAGTATCCGGTACAGAAACATTTATAATTGTCATTACACATAAACAGTTCTTTGATACGGGAAAATTGGAGAAAATATTAAGAAATGTTAAGCTAGTGGTTCGCATTATTTATTTAAACAATTAACTGAAATAATAAATTATTGTTTTTATTATTTTAATTTTTTTATCAGTATCGAGGATTACAACCAGTTACTATTGAAATTTATAAATCTTGTCTTATTTATACAATACAAGCTAAGATAGCTCCTTTATGGAACATAGCTGATCAATACTTAATTCAGGGAAAAGATTTTTATAATTTTACAGAAGGAGCTAGAGCATTGAAACTAGATGTTCTTATGAAAGGTATAATTATAAATTATCGTTGATTGTTAATTTAAAATACAGTTGACAATGAAATTAACTGTAATATTATAAACCTTTTAGATATGAAAATATGTTTAAAACTTCATGCAGAAAAAATTAAAATTTCATGTATTAAATTAGAAGATTACCTTCCATCATTTGTTATTTCTCAATTTTTAGCAGATCCTAAGGGATATATTGATTTATCTGTTTATAATTTACCATTTATACATGTTTTACCCAGGTAACATTAATTTTATTTTAATGCATATTTATTTACTATCTATGCTTAAGTAACATTTTAAATTTTTATTCAGCACAAAGAAAGGTAAATTATTATCTGTATCTAAAAAAATGCCACCAAAATGTGTTTTTAAGAATTATGACCAATTACGTCGGCACTGGAAAAATATGGTATATACATTTTACATTATTTATCTCTTTTTTAATAAACAATCAGGTTTCAAATTTGTTTGTAAATAAATATTATGTTTTAGTATGGTTACGCTTTGCCGAAAACTGAAGATGGAATTTTATACTATGAAATTAAATTTTTAATACCAAAATCAAGTATTTTTATTTATCCTAATTTATGTGTAATGAGTGGTCCTTTGAATATTATTCCAAATAGAGATAAAGGACCTACAATTATACAATTCTTATCTGATATGCTTGTAAAATTACCTGCAGTTTGTAACAAAAAATTACAAATATCTAAAGATGATCCATTTAACACAGTAAGTTACAAGTAATATTATTAAACATTCGTTGTATTCTATAAAATAATTTACATTTTTAATATGTCCTGTATAGCAATTGGGAAATGCAAGTTCATTAACTGACACATTATTAAATAATACAGAATTAGAAATACATTCTCCACAAAATAATTCTACTTCAAATTCACATTTTGAATTCTCTACAAAATATGTAGATGAACTAAAGAAAGATTCAAGTAGTGTTCCTACATCATTAAAAACACGCTTAGCTATGATTCATCAGCTTCATAATGCATCCTTTGGTGAAAGTACAAACACAAATTTAAGCATTAAAAATATTAGAGAAAACCAAAGTGATATGCAACCTAAAAAGAAATTTTGTGTTGTAAACAGTGCATCAAGCACAACAAATAGAAATTTTATTACATCAAAGGAGGGAACAATTTCTAGATACTTTCCAATTCAAAAACTACATTCTTCTAATAATATAACAGAGGTATACTTATATTTCACTGTGTATATATAACTGACCAGAAGTTTTTTAAATTTAATTTAATTTTTTATTAGTCCACACAGCAAGAAAAACAAGACCATGTGTCATTAAAAGAAAAATTACCAAACGTTAAACCTAATGAGCAAAGTAAAATATCTTTGTCAGAGACAGTAAGTAATTACATTCTTTGATTCTGATATCTTTGAGTATTGTTTATTATTTGTTTAGAAATGATGAATAGTTTATTCTATATTTTATTCAACAGGATGAAAATGTTAATATAGAAGCAATGGCAAAAAATAATCAGTTAGATCAATTAAACAGTAACATCTTAAGTAACTGGTTAAGAAAACATTCAATTCCACATAATCCAAATGGAAAAAAGGTTGAACTTATCAAGAAAATATTATCTCATATAAGAAACACACAACAACTTCGTATATAAAGATACCTTCAAAGTTAATGTAATTAACTGCCTCCATGGAGAAGCAAAAGCGCGGCTAAGGGGAAGCCTCTGAGGAGGACCCGGAACACAGGAACCCGGGTTCCGAGAAGGAACGGGAACCCTAGAACCTGGAAGCTCGGAGATAAGGACACCTTCATGGAGGACCGGGGATTGCAGAGCCCGGGGAAGTAGAATATTCCTATACTTGGTGTTATAGATATTTATTAAATATTTTAAAATAACAAATGTAACAAATATTAAAAATAAAATTTATTATTCTTTCATTTACGTTATTTGTGTTGATCAACATTATCTTTGCTAAAATATTGTACTATGTATAAGAACAGTTAAAGCACATAATAAATATAGTCAAAATAAATAATTAGCAATAACTACAAACATATTTCTATATCATTGACTTTCTACAATCTGCTATCACATTTAATATAATTTTTCTGTCTGATTCATTTTCTATTCCAATCTCAATTAAATCTGCATCAGTAAGAGTTAAAAATAAACTAACATCTACCTAAAATAAAGCATATAATAAGTAATATTATATAATATACCTGACAATGAAACTCTAATCTACTTACTTCTTGTTCAAGAAAAATTGGAATGTGTTGACTTAGCCCATATTGTTTTAATAAAACAAACATTTTTGCTTCCTCTGAATTTAAAATCATTCTTCTTGGAGGTGTTTTATAACGTGGAGGAGTTGGTGTACTTTCTCCAAAAACATTTTCATCATTTATATCTGGAGGTACATTTGGTGAACGAAGTGGACTAAATTCAGGTATATATCCAAGAGTAGCATCAAGATCTTCTTGTTCAGTTTGAATAATTAGATTTGGTGGACAAATGGACTGTAATCTTTACGAATAATAAGTTTGACTATTTAATTAAAATGCTCTGTATCAATAACTATAGATGTACCTTGACAAATGAGGTTCAGATAAGTCATTGGTTCCTGAAGATGCTGTTATGATATCTTTATTTTCTATTGGTTTTTTGTTCTCTATATCAGTCATTATATTAAAATTAATTTGTTCATCCTGTTTATTTTGCATAAAGTATATATTTGGAGACTGTGGTAATATTTCATCAAGAGTACAAGTTATAGTTGGTGAAATTAGACTATGTGGAACACATTCTAATTGTTTTGATATTAATTTTAAAGCACAAGGTTTTAAATATTTGTTTGAATCTATTACTATATTATTATTACATTCATTATTATCATCTTTTAATGAATTAGGTACACAAATTGGCTTAGTATGAATATTTGGAGATAATACATTATTATTGTTAATATTATTTTTTTTAATATCACATTTATTTTCAATATTGTACTCTATAGGAATATTATCTGAAACATCATTCCAATAATTTTCTATGCTAAGATTTCTTTTAGCTAAATTTCTTATCTCAGGTACTATTGATTGCTTCATCATAATTTGAGTATATTCATCTATTAAACAAATAACAAATTAAAAACAATTAAAAAATATTAAAAACTTGTACTGATTGTGAGAATAAATGTTACTTTACTGCTTTTAGACACATCAAAACCAAGCTCCAATAGTCTGAAAAACAGGTCTTTATCATTTTTCATGGCAGCAATACAAAGTGGTGTAATATCATCATTTATACAATTAGGCAATGCTGATGGACATGCTTCATATACAATTTCAAACATTTCTTTATTAATAGCAGCAGCTAATCCAAGAACTGACATTCCTAAAACATAAGAACTCCATGTTACTCCATGTTACTGTGTTATTGCTGAAATAAAGCAAAAATTACAATCTTATTTATTTGTAAAATTAATTTACTCACCAAGATAGGTTGATTCATTTATGTTAACATTTTGTTTTAAAAGAAATTTTACTGTTTTAATATCTCTATTACGAATTGCTAACATTAGTGGTGTCCAACCAAACTGATTTTTTCTGTCAATAACATCATGGGAATCCCACTTTTGTAAAATTTCTGTTATAACACCCAAGCAACCATTAGCTGCACTAATATGTAACAAATTCTCTCCATAGCTATTGACTGTATTTAAAGTATAATCTAATGACCAAAATGATAATATTACTCTTTAATTAAGTAATACACAAAAAGTTATAGTATAATAGTTTTAATACCCTCTGTTTTTAATGCTTTTATAATTTCTGCCTCTACAGCTTGTTTTATGTTGGCATTTATTTGTAGTTTAATATTATTTTCGCAGGACATTATTGACATTATTGTATGAGCTTTTTTAATGTTATTTGGAGTTATTTGCCTAATTTCCGCCAAAAGTATCAGTTGGTGTCAGTGCCTTTTTTGAAAGGTAATAGGGTGGCGGCAGCACAATCTCATAAAATGTTAGGTGCATGATAATTTCTGACAGCATTTGAATTACATTTTTCGAGTTCTACGTCTGTTTGATCTAAGAAGGCAATCATAAAACGAAGTTATAAATCTGTATCATTTATTTTTGTCCCTGATTCATACAGCAACGGATTTAAACCTATTGATGGTTAATTTAATATACATATTATAGGGATTAATCTTCACTCAATGTGAGTTATTCTCTATTAATAAAGAACATCATTTACATGTTCTTTTCTTTTTCTAATTTAATGACATTTCTTCTTAATGTATAAACAATTTTATTGATGATATTTTTCTTCAATACTTTATTTCTTTTTTTGGAATACAAGTTTTTGCTAGGTTAACTCTCAGACGACGCCAAGATCATATTTTTCGAGGTGGGGGCACTAATTAAGAGAATGTGGTTGGGGGAGTCGAGAACGTATCGTTACCGTTAGTGGTAAATTTTCTCGAATCTTTATTAACTTTGTTTCTACACGCTGGTTCTATCAAATAAATTCATGTATGTTGGATCATTTTAAGTTTTCTTTAAAGCATTATGTATTGTTCAGTCCTATTGTAACAATATGGGGACACTGATTCAATGTATTATATATTACTACTATATCATTAACATCTATTAATTCATATGTTAATTTGTTGTATAGAATGGGAAGCAGTGGTCAATTGTATAGTCTCTCTTGGGGAGAATTTAGTTCATCATTAGCTTCTGCAGTGCAATTATTGAGAGGTCATGGAGATCTGGTTGATGTTACTTTGGCTGCTGGTGGACGTAGTTTTCCTGCCCATAAGATAGTTCTTTGTGCAGCTAGTCCTTTCCTATTGGATTTATTAAAGGTTTTAATAATACGTGTAATTCTGTATGCGATGGTAATAATGTATTATAATTTATATTATGGAAACTTATATCAATAGAGCACACCGTGTCAACATCCAGTGGTTATGTTAGCTGGGATAGCAGCAGATGATTTAGAATCATTATTAGAGTTTGTATACCGTGGTGAAGTGAGTGTGGAACCATCTCAGTTACCCTCGTTGCTTCAAGCTGCTCATTGTCTTTGCATTCATGGATTAACACCACCTACTATATTAACTGAAGTATGTTTCTCAAATGAGATTTGTAAAAAGGATGTTTCAGTTTGATCAGTTTTGTATTTTTTGTTTATACAGAATGGGGAAGAGGTACCTATATCAGCAATACCAACAGCAAATGAAGCTTTATCCAAAGAAACAGTTAGTCCCTATTTTCCATTAAAACGAAAGAGGAAAAGAAGAAAGTCATCCTCCTCTTCTGGAAAATGGCCACGTACTTCTAATACCACCGATAATGAAAATAGATCTGTAGATGGAACTGATAACAGATCAGCAGGATATGATCAGAAAGATGAAGACAATACAGAGCATGGTGATGATACAGGTAAGAAATATTATATATAATGATATATAAAAGCACATTTTATGTTTATTTTACTTATTTAATTCATTAAAATTATTGAAAGTTTAGAAGTGCATGTTTCAATTCTAATATATCAATTATTTACATAAGATAATAAAGAATTATAATTATTTAATTTAGGTGTGTTTTTATATCTATTTATAAAGTATACATTAAACTGTTTCTATCATTTTTATTATTCTGTACATTCAATTGGTTTAGTAAACAGATTTGAATAAGAATGAATCTACAATGCTACTTGTGTTTTGTGTCCGATTATTTTGATCACATTGTCAATATATTTTTGGAGTATGATCCATCAATTTTCAAACTTCTTTCCAAATATTTTACCTACATAAGAAACGGACACAAGCACAACCATCAATTGGGTTGAACTGCATCTAATTGAACTGATAATAATTGAAAAATTTCACAGCTAAAAATCAGTTCAGCCCTGCATGGTAATGTTGTGTTTGTGTCTGTTAGCAGCGAACGATCGGTTGGAATATTCGAATCATCGGGGTTGTCACTCGCCACGTGCTCAAGAAGCGCAGCCAGTGTCGTCGGAAAATTCTCAAGCAGGACAGCATCAGGATCAAATGTCGGAAAGTGAAACGCATCTTCATACATTAATGCCAATGCAGCCATATTCTCCGCTACAAATACCGCAATTTCCTGGTCCTCTTAATATGGGCTTTCCACCTGGTATACCGCTCCCACTAGTTACCCAGAGTGCAACGGTGGGAACGGTGGCTAGTGGACCAACCGGCAATATGAATTTATCTAAAATACGTGGTGCATCTGATTGTCCAGGCGTTTGTCCACTCTGTGGCGCTACGTTACGGCAAGCGAGAAATCTACGTAGACATCTCTTATCCTCTTGCAAATATCGGTTTAGTAGTAATTCGGTTCATGGTTCCACGGCTGATTCGATGATGATAGAAATAAAGCCTGAAGTCGAATTGCCTGGTTACAACGAGCCGACTGTAACGTACGGGACTGATAGTGGAAGTAGTACCTCTGAGCAAATCATTTGTAAACCCAGTCCGCTTCCTTCACCGACCTCGCACGGCTCGAATGTTGTTTCACCTCAAAACAACATTCCGTCACCGACCATCGCTAGATGAATGTACATCAAGAAATTGAAAAGAAAGATTCGACAGGAACGGGATCGTTTGATTCTGTTATTGTGATTCAACAGCTACCTTGTTTTATTTACTTTGTTTCACCTTTGTATGTTATGATCTTAATTTAAGAAAGCGCAATTCCTTTTTTCTGTTTTTTATCTACCGTTCTAATGTACTTATATGAATATATGTTTAAACTATTAATTGTTTGCATTGTTTGCCAAGCACCGACTGACATTATTTTGTAAAGTTCGTCAGAATGAATTGATTGTTATAATACATTGCCTGTATAGTTTATTTTATCTTTATACTTAATTTTTTTTCTACCGATTCTGATAAAATGAATTTTAGAAAGATTTTGAAACGTTTAAAGCTAATAAGTTAATGTATTCAAATCTTCCACGTTAGTAAGTAAGAGCAGTATTTTAGGGTTAATGGGTATACCAGTCGATTAATAATTAGGTATAGTAATTATTCAAAAAGTCGAAATTCATCACACACTCATGCAATAACTGTGTAACGATCAATTTTATATAAACCTTAACTAAATCACAAATCTATATTTGTAGCTTATTTTTCATTTTTTTTTTTTTTTTTTTTTTTGTGAATAAAGTATTGAATCAATATTTTGACATTATACGTACACGTATGTAAGTAGAATTCGAATTTCTGTCGATTATACACTTCCTGGACAATTATAATAAAGCGAAAGAAATCAAGTGTTTCTTATTTACATTCATCGAGAAACCCATTTTGTGATAATTGGCGGAAATTCAGGTTCCTAATCTGTACGATTCTCTTTAATTGGCATGCATTTAATTTTTAGAAAAAATTTTGAGTTGCGTTCATGACAGTAAAATCTAATAAATCAAATTCAAATCGATATACTAGTAGACGTTTATTTTATTATAGACAACTTTATATTCGTACTAATAAAAGGAATTACTATACGTTATATCTATTTCCGTCACTTTAGCGAGTATTATTTTTGTCATTTTTAATTAAAACGAAAGAAGATTACGGATCGTTGCGTCCAGATATGTTCGTACCTGTTTAGATTTGACGGAATTAATTCTAGGAGACGGTCTGTCGAAATCACGAAGCATGTCCGATCAACCAGCCTCTTGTCCATTGTGCGGCGCGATTTTGCGTCAATCACGAAATTTGAGGAGACACTTAGAGCTTCTCCACTTTGGACTCGGTAGCAATAATAAATCCACCGTGGACACGGGATACCGGCGAACAAATAAAAATAACGATCTCGTTCGATCAACCTTCGCATCTATTTGTCAACCTCACGTGACGAGGACAGATCGATCAAAGCCTGCCGAGAGTACAGACATTTCCACGTTAACGTCCTCGTTCATTGCCTCGTCCAACGCATCGAATGTCAGTCTTACAGGTGAATGGTTAAAAAACCTTGAAGCATAGAAGAGGAATGATAGATACAATAATTGAAGGGTAAAGCTTGGGTTACAGTAGTACAGTTTACTAGCGTTAGTAGACAAAACACTTTCAGTATACTCATGTGAACTCTTGGGTGAGGTAATAATAGTTTAACTGATAGAGTATACTAGCGCTAGTAGACAAAATTCGTTTATTACACCTAGAGCCATTTTACATAGGTGAAGTAACAATCTTTCTATTAATATTAGTGAAAAATATTCATTTACTATATTTATGTAAATGCTTGAACAAGAAATCCGAAGAGTTAGTGCTCTAAAATAGTAAAAGATTCAGCTCAACTATTGAGCTTAGAAGTGCTCTATTTGTAAAGTGTTCATTTATTTCATAAATTTCTGGTAACAAGAATAAATTTTTAACGATATAATCGTTATTCTTGTATATTTGTACCCAGGAAATCTGATGGGACCAGGTTCGAGTATCCTGGGAACTGGTGATCAAATTCCGAATTCAGCCTTGGTTGCTGCAACTTCTTGCACTGCTTCCATGGCGTCTGTCACTAATGGAGTTTATTCATCCGATGGTAATACCAGTATATTAAATTGTTTGTTATCCTCGTTACCGTTTTTGCCTTCTATTTCTTCTTCACGTGGTATGTCCGCCAGGAATCACAAACAAACACATCCTCCCGATATTATTTAACACGTTAATTGATAGGGTATTAAGATATAAATCTTACTCGGTATATCCAGCATTTTTTCATTTGTAGAAACTTTTCTAAAATGGATTTTAAATTGAAGTACAAAAAATTTGTATAAGTGGTAAATATGGTGTGAAATGTGTTAAAATGACGGTAAACATTTTCAGATATAATTTATTTAATACATTTCAGTTGATAATTAATTTTTTATCAATGATGAATGAAAGTATAAATAAAAAAGTGATATGACTTTTATCGACAAATAAAGAAATAAAAAAGTTCGTTTCTGATTAAACAAAATTATATGATTGTGAAGAAAACATTTTTATAGTAGAAAATAAATAATTCAAGTATAATTTAATTCTTGTTCTAGTAATTTACCTAGAATATATAATTCTTTTTATTCTAATAATAAAAATAGTTGCAAATTACGGTACAAAACAGGATTCCAAAATATATATTTTTCAAAACATTTGGATTATACATTTATAAAGAGGGTATCACACGTGTAAAGGTACACAATTAATTAAATCCTGCGATTAAGTACTAAACTAATACTGGCAACAGTTTGTTCAACAACAGCTTAGATTTAACATGACAACTTTATCGATTGTTAATTACAAAAATTCCTCCATAGAAAAATTGTACATTACAAAACAAATCGAAAAGTTTTTTATCATTTCGCAATCTGTTCCTTCGTTCTCGAGATATAAAGAGTTAAAGATCAGGCGTTCAACTTCCGGGGTGCGAGCCTAGGCACCCCGGAAGTTGCATCTCCAATCTTTAATCGCTTATATCTCAGAAACGAAGCAACAGACTGTGAAACGGTAAAGGACTTTTCGATTTCTTTTTTCACGTAGAATCTGTAATTTTCATGGTGTACACCTCTCTTGAAATGTATTGTTATTACCCTTTGGAAAATTCCTTTTTTGAGATTTCGGCGGCAACGATATTAGCAGTTTCTTTTATAAAACTATCTTCACGTCGTCGTGGAGTAACAGAGGCAGTGAAACACTTTCGACGTGCTTCTTTAACAAAAAAATTGTGTTCTTCTTGGGTAATAAAATACATCATTTTCAAAAGCCTTCTTTTCCCACAATTGAAAAGCTCGTTCATACGATGAGATTCATTTCCTCCGAATTATATTCTTCTGTACGTCCTTCAATGAATGGCCAATTTCTTTTTGAGATTCTTTTCAATTCTCCACGAAGAAGATTTAACAGATCATCAAGGTGTCGCAGTTCTTGAATATCCTGTCGCAGTTTACTTGCGTTGGACGTGATGTTTGTTATACTTTGTTCGTCACGCTGCAAAAATAGAATAAAAAATTCTATTACAATAAATAATATAGTTTTGTTCATAAGATTTTATTTTCAGTGTAGATATTTTTATTTGTAATTGCCATATGAAAATATTCATTGAATGCTTCTTAATTTGCAATACAAATACTTTATTTTTTGGTTCAATGTAATAACGAATGGCTTAATTTGATTCAGAAATCAAAAATTGAAAAATGATCACCTGAAAGCTTCTCCGAAGATCAGATATATCCTTGTAAATATCCTTGCTGTTAGTCTGAAGTCTCTCTACCTTGTTCCGGAGATTCTTCACCAAATTATCCGGATGTTCAACAACCCCAGACACGTTTGTATCTGGTTCAATCGCCAGGGCCAGCCTGGTTATTCGATCGTGAGAGGAGGTGCTGTCACAGAAACGATCTTCCTCAAGAAGGACCGTTGCTTTCTCAGGATTCGTGTCGAGTACCTCGAGAATTGACACCACCTCGTTGACAGCTGAACATCGTTCCTGGTAAATATAATTTTAATTTTGTAACTTATTTATTTCTATAGATATTATTTTCCCAACGTGCAAAACGATTAACTCCACTTTTACAATTTTTTAAAATTTTCTTGTATTTTTAATTTTGTGAGTTGGCAAATGAGTGGTTTATATGAAAGACGATTAGAAACGAAAGAAAAGTAATTTATCAAAGTAATTAAAAATAAAAACCTGCGATGTGTCAAGCTTGTAACTGGTTGTCGCTAATTCGTCGCTGAGACACAGGGGAGTACTTTGCGAATTGTGCGAATCCAAACTCCAATCATTGCTTCGTATACTCGAATTATCCTCCAAGGAGGAGCTATGAATTCCCATCTTCTCACCATCTTCAGAGCTAACAGTGAACCTCTCGTAACTAGACTTCTTGCTGATGACGTTTGATGTTTGTAAACTGTTCGAATTCTTGCCATCTATACCGTTTAGACATTTATCTTCCATTTTGGGATCGTTGTTGTTCTTCGTCGAAAGATTATCATTGCAGATCCTCTGGTCACTCCTCCACTCGTGACAGGTGATCGTTGATAGTGCCATCTCTTTGCTATTCGAACTCAGTAACGTTGTACCTGATCGAATATTAAGTATTTTAGTTAAACACAATGGAAGTTCATTTATATAAACTCGATTTATCTGAACGAAGCTCCATCGATTGCCCAATTTGCTGAACTCCTCGTTGAACTTACTTCTTATCTAAACTGTTACGACATTCTGGTTATACATACGTTTATAATTATAATTTATACTTTCAAAGTGTTAATGTAAGTTTCCAAAATGTTAATCGATCTTTTGAGCCATGAACTTGAAGTTACGATTAACTTTTTTTTAACTTTGATTCAAGTCATTTTTAATTGTCAAGATTATGCGATTTCTATTATCAAAATGTTATTTATAAAACTTTAGAAGTTTAGTAAATTTTCAAGGAAGGGGGTAAATTATTAGAGGGTCATTATTAACCCTAACTCTTTAAGTGAAAACTATAAAACTTTTCCAATATCTTCTAAGTAGAATTTGACTAGTTTCTGGGAAAATTGACACAAATATTCTCATAATCAAATATATAATACTTCCTGTAAGGAGTTCAGCAACATTCAGCGAAGCTTCAGCAGGATAAATGAAATTCGAATATATAAATCCGAGTTCGAACGTATGTATTCAGTTTCATGCAGAACAGCGTCATTCGTCGATAAGGTGTTAAGAGTGCAGGCATTGAAACGAAAGGTAGACGTTTAATGAGCACGAAGCGAGCCGATTTCACATATCGGTAGACCGCGAAACTTTTACTGGGTCAAACACAATGGCTTGGGTTATATTCAAGTTATAGCTAGCTGACGGCAAGACTGGTCTCGAAACAAGTTTGTACGATGTGCAAAATGTCGAACGTGTTCGAAGCTATCCTATAAACAGGAAAATACCCACCAAGTTGCTTAGAGTCGATAAGATAGTTCAATCGCCGTTGGCTACGGAAAGTATTTCGATGATTTTCCGTTTCTCCCGTCACTCTTGATTGACAGATGGACAAATAACGTGGTGATGGTGTTAGAATTCTGTATTCTTGGGATCGGACCAACCTTTCCGGCGTGTAACAGATAGCCTGAAACATGTTCGACTTTGTTTCTGTCGCGTCGAAATATTGTTTTGCTTCTTTCGCTGAAAATGCTGTGATACCCTGCAATTTCATATATTTTATGTATCTTTATTTTTAATGTAGCTGAATTTTATTAAATCATTTTAATATGTAAGCTTACTCTATTTATTATTGATAAAAGATCCTATTGTAAATTTAAAATTGCTCATTTTTTGCACATTGTCAAATTTCATTATGTTAACAATCTTCTGTTATTTGAAAAGCTATGTTTAGATTTTATTACATGACAATTATTAAATGAATTAATTACTTCACCTACAATCTTCATCTTATTTAAAATTTGTATCTAAATTAAAACTAAAAATTATGCAAGATCTAAAATATAATTCTATTAATAATTTTTATTATGTACAAAAAAGAATTAAAAATTGCAAAAATCATTGTGTAAATAATATAATATTAGTGCGATGTAAGTGCGGAGTAAATTTTCTTTTTTGAACAATTCTTTAATTTTTTAACAAAATTAAAAATTATCTTTGTTTTGTTACGACTAGCTTCCTTAAAAGTTCATCAGTGTTTACATATCATTACATCTCCTTAAATTTATCAAACAATTCCATAATAAAGCATGTTTGGAAAATAAATTGAACCAACTTACTTCTTCTTTCGGAATCGCATCCTTTTCAATAAGATCGATGTCCAGATCATGGTGAATCAGAGACGTGAGCTCTATCCTTTCACAGTCATCATTGTAATCGTCCCTGAATTCCTGTGCAAGAAAATAAGATTCGCTGTCGTCTGAATCTGCACAAGAAAGCATCGATTCCGAGGATCCTAACGATTGGCATTCTCTGGTCTGGTTGGATCTAGGGGACTTGAAGTCATCTTCATTATTTATCCACCATCCGAAATCTTCTTCCTTTGACGATTCTTTAAATCTTCCATCGTTATTGCCTCTCCCTTTCAGGCAAAACATTTTGAACGGATTATGACGCGCAATTTTCTTTTCTATCAATTTTGATGATGCATCAAACAATATCTGAAACAATCAGAATAAAATATTTGTCTAATTTTTATTAAAATTAGATGGAGTTCGATGGAATAAAATTTTAGTAAAATTAGTAAATAAAATTATTGTAGTAAAATTAAAGTTGGAGTAGAATACTTTTTTAAATGTTAATTACAAAAGGAAATTAGAAAAGCTTCCTTTTAACGTTAACACAACCTATCTCGAATAATTTACGTTTTCCAACAACGTTTTCTCTTATCACGAACGAACGATACTACATTATCTATGGAATTCGATTTTATTGAATAAACACACGGCACAAACTTCAACCGATATTTTCCCAGCACCATGTTATTCCGCTTTCACGATGCAATCACGTCACAAACTCTCATTCCTCTAATTTACATTCACCATATCCATCCGACTTTATTTCTCCACCATAATTATCCAGTGAAAGAAACTTTGCTCTCGATCATTCGTTTAGCGCCAAAAATCAAGGGTTCTGGAGAGGAAAGTGCATTATCTCTTTTAACTCTTTCGACTTGACGCTTCACCAGATTAATACCAGATTGTTATCATAAATTGTCACAGTTTTCAAGATATTTATAACACTGTTACGTATTCATAATTTTCATACATAGCTTTTTAATTTATTATTCTTCATTTTATTTTTATTTAGCTGTTATTAATTGCAATTTGAAAATCAGTAAAGTTTCTTTTATCAAATTAATTTGTTACATAAAATTTGCATCATAGATATAAATATTGATATAAATTAAAAATTTCAAATTCAGTATCCTCAAAGAAATCAAAGAAGTAATTAATGTATAATTATACAAAGCTAGATAACATTATTATTTAATTTATCATCCACTGCAAGCTTCAATGTAAAAATAATATATTAGTAAAATTAGTAGATAAAAATGTGAAATTTAGTATCCCCTGATAAATGAATTGAATGAAACCTCAGTAATCTCTCGATTATTTACTTAAATATATAAATCGATGCATCTGAAAGATAATTTTCAAAAGAAAAATCCACTTCCTATAAAATCTTTCAAACCAAACACAATACATCTTTTTCTCGTAAGCACATCAAATAACGTTTCGTCGAAAGCACAATAACATTGGGCGCACCTGGTCACCGATAAAAATACCAAAACCATTATATGGAACAACGAAATCGCGTATCGTCGATGAACGAACGTGCACGAGGTATTCAGCAACGAGTAAGCCATTATACGTACACTTGGCTGGCTTCTGTATAGGCGACGAAGACGTGACGAAGATTCGATATCTGAGAACACTAAACGAACGATAATCGTACGATCTTAGCGAGCATGGAGCTCGTCGACGAATCGTCTTTTCCCGCGAAAATCACTTGGACCGTTTCACTAGCGAGAGGATGAGACGCGAGATGAGGTCATGATTTCTTTCGTAACCTTTGTGCCGTTTTGACAGTCGTACACGTTGTCACTGCAACTGTCTACGAAACACTGATTTCCTTGACCACTGGTCGCCATAGAGACGCTAATTTAATAAACGTACGACCGGCTTTCCAGCGTTTAGTAGCGTTTAGAACCGGTCAATGCGATTCACTTCCATTTACAATTTTCATTTGCGTCCATTACTTTTTAAAACGTCGCGTGTAGAGTTATTCTAAAAATTTAGCGTAAGTATATTTATATAATAAGTAGGATGTGAAAGTTGTTTGGAAAATTATTGGGAAAGTCTATGGAGTTTTGAATGTGTAAGATCACGTGCAGTTTAGGCTTTTTTTTATTGTTAGTTAAGAGGAAATGTAAGGGAGGTAATGATTCATGGTGTAAGGGTGGGAGGTTATAGGTTGGGCTCTTCCAAGGCTCCCCCTTGGCTCTTCAAGGGTTCTTTCAAGACAGAAGGCAAACGGAGGGAGGCTTCTTTCTACCTTTCCCTTTAACCAATAGAAAGCTACCTTGTGTACACTCAGGTGCAACCTAGCCTTCTTTTGGTTAAGAATGAGAAATATAAGAAGAAGAACTTCCCATTTGTCTTCGGTTTGGGAAGAGCTTAGTAGAGAATCTCCTACCTTTACACTTTTTCTTAATTCTTTTACTATTGTCTCCATTGCGAACAACTGTACTCGTATATTCAATTCACTATTCGAATGGAAATGACACTTTAGTTGCAATAAGTAGTTTTTAGTGGTTTTTATTTATTCATTGTTCACATTAAATTGATCCAAAAAGAAAATTATATAAATTATATCAACACCCGATACGAACAAAATTGTAACCTTTGTTGCAGCGTTTTACAACTATAATACAAACAATTTAAAATGAAAAAGAACATTTCAAATGTCCAACAGTTTCACTATTATTTGGATTTTATTATATTAACATTTAAATTTTATTTAAACACTCTATACATTACCTTTAATTGAATTATTAAATGCACAAACTGTTGCAATCACAATTGTCACTTTTTATAATCAATATATTATCAGTGTTATTATTATTAATCAATTTTCAATATCAATTTTACTCCTATTTAATAATTCAACGTTTATACAATTATTTTCAATCACACGAGAGAAGGAAAATATATATTTCACAAATATCACAGTTAATGAAATTACGATTGTTCATAACGAAATTTCATCGTGTTCGAGATCTTCAGCATTCGAGCAAGCACTGACCCGTGCCACGTTTTCCCTGCAGCTATAACCACGGTTCATCCGGTGATGAATGCCGGTGTTTGTTTTCGATATGACTTAAACAAATATTCCAATAGTACGAATGCAACCAATTCTTACCAATACGTTCACTGTATTTTCTGCAGATAACACGATGACCCTACTGTCACGATATTTTCTGCCAACAATGAGTCAAGGCAGCACCGAATCGAAGTCGTCGATGAATCGGCGATGGGTCGAAGTTGTCTTTATGACTCGTCCTCAGATCTTGTTTTGTAAACAGTCGAAATAGTTCTGTTAGTTGAGAAATGTTCAAACATTTACGACGAGCGATTAGAAATCGTGGTACAATCAGAAAATACATTGTACTTTACTGTGATTAATCCACGAGGAAACAAGTAATGAAATAAAGCGATTTATATCATGTTTATTTATTGTAAAGTTACACATTTTATAAAATTGCAGGACCTAAGTAAAAACAATTCTCGAAATTTTAAATTCTAATGCTCAATAAGATTATTCATTGACACATGACACAGTCGAAATCGACCCACTGGTAAAACATTTATTTATATTAATTACGTACATAAAAAAAATAAAAATCGTGTAAATTAATTTTTTTGTATTTCACAGAGTAATTTCTTATATTTATAGTGTGAAACATTATAAAATATAAAATCTGACAATGTACAAATATACATTACACTGTACTTTATAGTCTCTTTACATTCACATTAATCCACAGAAAAAAGAATTTGTTAAATACTTTTTATATTTTAATAATGAAATTATTCAAATTAATTTTCTACATATAGGTACCTTGATTAATTTTTTCATTTTGACTTGAACAGAGAATATCATATTTTACACCATAAATAAAATTATGTAAACATATTGTGCACCATATGTTACAATTCCAATGTAATCACTTTATCACCCAAGACAATTATAATATTTCAAAAATATTTTTGATCATTCTTCTCCAACCACATAGTTCAATTTGTTTCCTTATGTTAATTAAAAAAAAAAAAATTACAGCTGTGCTTAATATATACTCAAACACAAAATGAGACCACTTGAATTGATTTTTTGCACGAAATACCAGCTAAAACTTCATTAAAACACTCTGGTACCGCATTGAAGGTGTGTAGCGCGGAAAATCCGCCATTACGGTAGACGGCTGAAACGCGAGTGATAACACGTTGAAAGTAGATTGTCTTTTAGATTTAGCCTGTTTTCTACCAGTCAGCCTGTGGTCTAGGGGTACGATTCACCACCGTAGATCCTACACGTGGATAGCAACGGGTATTCGAGACTACATGCTGATTTTCATTTTTTCCGAGGGATTTTTTCGGTCAAAGGTTGACCTAGTTCGATGACCCTGCGATCCCGCGAAAAACTGGAATTTTAATTCACATTTTAGGACGAATATTCATGAGAGTGACGTCAAAAGGCCTTGATCCATGTTAAAAATCAGGTGCATCAGCGATAACGTTATCGACACGTTGCTTGCAATCAGGTGTAACGGGTGTCATTAATATCAGACACTTCTCACAGTTTTAATTGCAATCGATAAAATCGAGCATCTACTGACCCACTGTCGATGGGTCCAGATATACGGTGGGTCTACTGATCCACTTGCATAATTTCTTTGTTATATAAAAATGTCCTGTGAAAAAAATTGAGCGTTTGGTAATGACAAGACAGTAGTACGGAAGTCATGATTGATCCAGCTTCATCATTTGAAAATCTGGATAAGAAGAGCCTAGAATAGATTCTAATGATCATCGCCGAAACCTTCAATTGTTTAATTAGTTTTGTGTTTATTATTTCGTGAATCACCCTTTATATGAACAACCTTCTTGTTAAATCGTGATTGGCTGACCTTGTCTATTCACTGATCATGGCGATTATCTCGGAAACGATAACGCGAATTAAAGCAACTATGATTCATGCAGCGTCACATGAAACCACCTGGGTACGTTTCGCGGTTAAGAAAAATGGTAGAAAAAAACTGGAAAACTCGAGATATTATTCGCCGATGGAAGCTGAAACTGAGGCGTAAAACGTAACACCTTATGTAAGAAAACGAAGATTACTTCTGGTTTCATTATCGTAGTTTCGCGTTCAACTTTGAAACTCTTGCTTCTGAAGTTTCCGAAGATATTAACGGGCAACGGAAAGTTGCTTTTTAGACATTGATACTATCGCAATAATTTTTAATAAATATGGTAAGACGAAGTATCATATTTATAATGTGCAAATTTAAGCAAATTAAAATAAAAATAAAAATCTGACAGAGAGGCAACTTTCATTCTGTCATAATTAAGTTTTGAAAAATGTTTATACCACATTTTATGTGTATGTATATTAAATTCCGATGCAATTTTGATATTACCATAATTTACTATTATTCATCTCGTAAAGAATACGAAGATGTTTTGTACCATTAGTAGATTGTACTACTTTGTGAGAATGCAGACCAATATTTCTTTGTCAGATATATCAAGGGTGTGACGAATGCACTTTTAGAAAAACAGAGTAATTCAGTACGTTTGTACGTTAGCTATGGTTAAGAAACTAAATTGGTAGCGACAAGTTTTTCGGAGCTGTTAATATCATTAATAAGCTTTGATAATAATTTAATTTATTATTACGTGATGATATAGAATTTAATAACTTTAATAATCATAATGTGTAATCTTATAAATATACATATTTATTAATGATTTAATAAAGATTGTATCAGATTCAAAAATATTTGGCGCCAATCCCTCCATAAGGATACTAATCAATACTAATTTATTTCAATAACATAAGTGTTCGATAACCAACAATTACAGAACCTAATATCATATGTATAATAAGAATTAACAGTTTCAAAAATACACAGATAATTTACTTACAGTTGAACAAAGTCGAAGTTAACCGTGTCAGAGTATTTAAATCTTAAAGTGGTGCGATTAAAACACCGCGATCGATAGCGGTGTCACGTGACCGTAACCGCGATCGATATATCGAATCAGCACTCGCACAACGCAGTAGGTGACACTCACGCGAAGGGTTAAACGTCACGTCCAGGAAAAAGTTAAAAGATCGACGAACTTTCGAACGAGTCGCGAAGAAATCGCTGTAGTAAAGAGCGTTACTTCCGGCCTTCTTACCGCGCATGTACATAAATATGGCGTCCGCGACGGGGAAAGATGGTGAGTGTACGGCGGGGTTTGTCGGATCGATAGCTCGCGTGAGAGTGCGCGAACACGTACGTCGGTGATCGTCGCGACCTGGCCGCTACCGCGACTCGAGTATCCGGCGAGTATTACCCCGATGTCAATAGCGTACGTGCGTCCGTGTGACGAGCATCGTGACCGGTAGCTCGTCAACGACTATTTAAAATCGGTCGCGTGTGTGTTTATTTCGCGCGTTTCATAGACAGGTATCGTTCTCCAAACGGGGAGATCCGATCATCTGGACCCGTTTCCCTAACGCGAGTGACTTTTAATGCATTAAGGTTATGTTCGTGATAGTTAGGCGGGGAAGTGACACTAAAGCCGGTATGGAGTCTCGCTGAGACAAAGTGATATGTCCGTGATGTCACGAGGCTCACCCTGGTGCTGGACCGCACCAGGGTTGAGAAGATCCATGTTTTTTCTAACCATCATCATACTTTTCGGCTTGTTGTCTCCAGGCGTATTCGGTGAGAAGAGTAAAAAATGTAAGTAATTGATCATTGTTTGTTTGCTTGCTTTCACTGCGTATAACCAGTTTTTCATTTTACCCATATAAGTCAATGGGAACGGGGTGACGTTGTTTAGAGTGAAATTAGGTTTGAACGTTATGCCATGTGCCTCGCAACTAGCTTTCTGAAGTTGCTGCGATTTATCGAAAACATTCCACGCTTTTCTTTTGTTTCTTTTGTTTTTTAAATTATATTCGCGGTTATTTGAAGTGTTTTAGTTAATTGAATTTTAAAAGGTGTTTCACCTTCATGGAGCGTGTTGTATTCAGTTCGTTTGGTAAACGTCTACCTCTATCATTGTTAAATGTGACCATTTCGAAATATTACGTCGTAATTAATGCAAACAATACGGTTATCGTGAAAAGTTTGAATTAGGAAGTTGCAGCAACTCGAAGGCGCAGTTAAGATAAAAAAAGAAGTTAAATTACCCTCGAACTTTAATTAAAGTAGTCTAGTCCACGGGGTATGTTGAATCTCGTTTTCTTTTTTTTTAGTTTGTTACGCGGATCTCATTTTTTTGCGTTGTATTCTGAAGGTTACAAGTGGTGTTAAATTTGGAGCAGTATTTTATCATTTTATTTTGTGCCATGTTGTGGAATCCACGTGGTAGGAATTAGAGATTTAAAGATTTTCAGAATAATAACATATGCTCTAAAATTAACTAATAATTATAGACTTAATTGAAGAACAGGTTTACAGCTAAGTATTTTATATTATTGAAAATTAAAAATAAATTTACACTACTGTGAATTTATTAGAAATAAAAGGGTATTAAAAAAGCATTTATGCATATCTAGGTTATTATTATATAAAATTGAACTAGTTTTTTAGCCTTTTAAAAAAAAAAAGTTTTCTAAAAGTGGGTTTTTAGAGAAAAACTTTAACTTCTTTATTGAACTACGTTGCGTGCAACGTATATTGATTAGTCGCGTATTCGTTCACTCGTTACTATGTTACTCTACAACTGTACAACAGTTGTAATTGCTGTTGCCTTGCTTAGTGGAAGCTACGATTGTTGAATATTAATTTCAAGCGTTATACTATAAATATAAAACATCCATATTAAAAAAAAAATATGATGAAAAAGTATAATTTTTGTTTAAAATATTTCTACGGTACTCTATGTGTACTATAAATATGCAATGGTTGTAATTGTTGTTACTTCAATTACAATTATTATAATAAGAGCTACAGTTTCAAAATATTCATTATAAGCATTATATTATAAATACAGGACATTGATATTTACATATTATTGCATAGGCTGGGATCCAGCGTATGATATGGTGCTTATATTTAATTTAAAATTCAATTCTAAATTTTATATTATTCCTTTAGATATTTTCTTCCAACATATGAAGGTCTTTCGTTTGGAAATATTAGTATTTAATTTCATTAGGTGTATCGTACACGTTTCGTGGATCTGGACAATGATTAACCGATTCATCGTCAGTTAACATTTTTGAAGTATCCTTTGTCATTTCCTTTCATTTAGAACAATAGAATATTGCAATTGAAATTTTAGTGTTGCAATCATTAGAATATTACAATTCATATTGAAATAAATAAGTGACACAATTTTGTATAAGGATAATAGCACCTAAAAATAACCACGATGACCCTTAGAAACCACTTTGCCACCCCCCTGAGGCTCATGACCCATAAATTGAGATTCCAGGATATAGGACATTGGTCCACAAAACTGTACAGTCTGGGAAAAGTATCTCTTTGACCTACATTTTTTACGAATGAAAATCTCATTAAATTGAAATGCTACGTAAACGAAGACATTAATTATCTATATGATACAATTTTGAAGCACATCTGTACTTACAGTATCAAAGTTCAGTTCTGATTTAAACTCGTTTAAGATGAATTGGAGTAATTAATTAATGTTTTACATTGAACGTATTTCGAAACAGAACTTTGCTTCATTTTATATTTTGGAATGAATGTAGCGTTGAAAGAGGTATTCATTTTGCGAGGGTAAAGTTACCAGCTCAAAGAACATCATCATTGCAGGGAAGTAGAGATGTACTACATTTTATTCGGACAATCACGAGAGATATTACGTTTTCTCGTTTCCTGTGAATTTATTAGTGAATTTGTTGGAGGTACTTGTTTCTAGCGAACTAAGATGTTTGCTGAAGCGTAAGCACGTTTAAGTAATTAATATAAAAATAATTAAAAAATTCACTTTTTGTCCATGTAGTGCACTTACAACATTATTATCATTTTAATATAATTTTCAAGATATACTTGCTTCTTTTATAAACTTTTGTTCCACTTGTTTAGTTAATTTCACTTCCTATCTCTCAAGGATTTCCTTCTTTCCGGTGGATAATAAACTTTCGTCTGTTTCCTCTGGCTTTCCTTACATATTTCATGCTTGCGCAAAGCTTTTCCAAAATTCATTGCAGAGCTTATCATTTTCGTACTTTGTGAATGGTATAATAACAAAACTAAAGTTAATAAAGCGATAAGAAGCTTACGTTTCTATCTTTTAAAACCAGTAATTGTTAGCTTTAACTATTAACCATTTACTTTGTATTAAGAATATCCATTACACATTTATATAGCCATTTTCAGCATATTTCAACCTTGTAATTGATGCAGAATCGGTGCTATTTCATAATCGGTGTTATTATTATTTTTTTATTTTTTTATTTAATTTATGTCCGGAAACTTCGTGCTAGAGCAGAATAATAAGTATCAAGTTTCTTATCCCATCTCGAAGGCTAAGTTTCTTTTAGGAAAAAGGAAGAACTCCTTGATATATATTTTTCGAGACTTAGCTGGAAAATTATCACGGTGTTGGTAGAGGCCTCGGTAAACGAGCAAGCTGTCATGCGAAAATTGCTGTAATCACGGCAAAGTTACCGGAACAACGTTAATTGTTTGCTCCAGCGGCAAGCAGGAAGATTACCGTGTTGCCGCAGCCAGTGCACGACGAACGTGACACGGACCGATAAACGAAGCTAATTACGACAGTCAAATTAGCTCGACCGAACAGCCGTACACCGCACTGATTCGTCGGTCATACGTGATCGATCAATGTCCGTGTATCGTCGATCGAAATATACGCCTATCGTAATTACTAATATCCCTTGTTATATCGGTTGTCCTTCCTGCGTCCATCAAACTTTCCATATCGAAACAAATAATATTCCTCTAAAACAATGGGTCGTATGCATAAGTAAAAGCAAAAAATTTAATAAATAGAGTAGACTAGGGCAAGTTTTTCATTTCTGCAATTTTTATTTAAGTCAATTACGTAAAAAAAGGTATGCTAAAATATTTTTTGAACCTTCCTCTTTATATATTCTAAGTAAAATTTTCAGAAAAATATATATAAAATAAATTATAAAATGTTTATTTGGTGAGTGCAAAATGTATCCAAATCGAGTACCTATTTATTTAAAAAATTTTTAATAAAAGCTTTTACTTGCCCTTACGCATATGGCCCAGTGTTTTTCAAAATCTTTCGAATCCTGACGAATAGCTGCAAGGTCCTCAATTGTTTTCTTATTATTTCACGTAGCATAATTATTTTGCAATTTCTAACCCGTTTCGTATATCCCAAACTTAAGTAGAAACACAATGTTGGAGTAGTTTTATCAGAAGGAAACTCGATCAGCTTCGATGGGAAAAGATTCGGTGTAAAGCAAAGCTTTCTATGCGATAGGTTTCCCACGTGGCATCGATTTTCTCGTCGTACGTATAGATTTTCACCTTTGTAGAAAGTGCAGCTCACTCAACAGCGAAGCCACTGCTTTTCTCTTCGTTCGAAGTACACTTGCTCCATATTTGCATCCGGTGTTCAAGTGTCCATCCTTCTATCTTGCATCTACCTGCTTCTGAATGGCGAACTTGAATACCGCCTCTTTCCTTGCTGCACTTTGATCGTGGATTTATTGATTACGAGAAATGTTCCTTTTATTGGTTAGTAATGCTACTAGGTAATTTCAATTCCGTTCAGTTAGTGGACATTTTACACATTCGTTCAGGAAATATAGCTGTTAAATATTGTATGGTGTCGAGACCACAGTTGTTTCATTCGCGGTGCGATGTGGTAAACGTCGTGTAAAGACAAAGCGAACTTTTAAATTCTGCTTGAGATTAAACTACCTATCGCGTAGCCACCTTTAAGCTCGGTTTAGACCGTAAGCTTTGGCAGCGAACCCTCTAGGCAAATAGTTTTGATTGATAACGGGCTAGGAGAAACATCGTAATGGATTGAGTACAAAGGCGGAACTAACCACAGTCAAGTTTGTACGTAGCATAATACAGAAGCGATGTAATAGCAGTATTATGATTGTTCTTGCCGCTACTATGTATCCGATCATAGGAATTATCTTATTTACTTAGAATAATTTATTTTCATTTAGATTGTATAGAAGTAATTTTGTAATAATTACAATAGGCACACATACGTGTAATGATTTCAATGTTTTCAAGATTTTGTTTCTATTTTTAAGAAAATGAAAAATTAAAAAATTTTCAAATATTCCCACTGGATTAGAACAATTTAAAAATGAATTCCACTCTGGCAGCGATCGATCAAATTTTAAAGTTTCCATCACGAATTCGTTTGATTGAAAAATATTCAAGGTAATAAAGTCCCTGCTACGATCGTTTTCTTCCTCTTTTTCTTCGAACGCGGACGATTTCTCTTTTACGCGGTGAACATCGGTGGCAGAGCCGCATACTCCTGTTTCTTGCATCCCTTTCTCACCCTTTCCCGGTCTTTTCGAAGCACCAACCAACGGCAACCCTTGTCACTGTCTGGCGGCTTGATTTCTTGCTAAACTCTGCCGGCAAGAAACTTCGCATCCGGCAACGAGTGACTTCGCTCTTTCCCCATTTACTTATCCCCCGGGATAGTCGGCTCGGTCCAGACTGTGCATCACCGGTGACAACGGTCCTTCGACTTGGCAAAATTCCACTCAATTTTCGTGGAAATTCATGTGCGATCG